TTGTGCACTTGGCCCCAATGAGTATAGTAGAGTGTCCTCATGCTCAAATGCTAAAGAAATTTGGGACAAGCTTGAAGTCACTCATGAAGGAACAACTCAATTCAAGAAGTCTAAGATTGGCATTCTCCATTTTCAATTACGAGAACTTCAAGATGAAGCCCGATGAAGACATAAAAACGATGTCTGATGTGTAGTTTAAATAATCGTTATTTTATCCTTAATTACTCCTCGTTGTTTAGTTTTTGTTGTTGATTTGGGCTTTTCTATTCATTTTATGTGTAGGACGTTAGATTTCAGAAACAACACTAAAATGACAATTTTGCAGAATTTTTTGTTTTCTGGAGTCAATGCTGGATTAATGGGCATGAATGCATCCGACCTATCAGCTTCTAGAAGATCCAATCGGTGTCTTCCAGAAATTCCAGTGAGCATTCCTGAAAGGCGGACGATCAACTTCAACTTCAAATTCCAATTCGAATTCGAATTTATTTTTATTTTTTTAGGAATTATCATTTAGAACTATCACTTAAGAGTTATTACTTAGAATTATTTTCTATTTATTGGGATTTATCTTTTAGGAGTTATTTTTCTTGTATAATCAATAATTATATGTTGATATTTCTACGTATTTTTAGGATTTTTAGGACTTTATAAATACCCCATCAGGGTAAGCCAGAAAAGATATATCTCAATTCTCGAACTACTTTGTTATTTGATTTCTTTAGCTAAATAAAACTTTCTTTTCTTTTCTTTATTTTCTTTTCAATTTCTTTATTTTTCTTTTAATATCAAGAATGAATTCTATTGTGTTTGGATAATTTTTCAATAAGCTGAAGGTTAAAGGTGTAACTCAATCCAATCTTGTGGGAATCAAAAAAAGGTACATAATTTCTTTAGATTATTTTCTTGAATTTTCAGCAAACCAAGGAAGACAATCAACCTTTCTTCAATATCTCGACATCTTCAATCCAAGAAGTGCACATTGGCTTGATTGACGTTGTGATTTACAGTTGGGGAGGAGAATTAGCATGTAGCAAGTTTAATTCTCCAAGAACAAACTTAGCAGCGGTCCACTAAGGGAAATCAAGATCGGGTTCAATTCTCATTGAGACACCATAATCCGAGCACATGCTTTTCCTATTCTTGAACTGGTATCGACGTTAATATCAATAAGTGTTGTTAATCCGAACAAGGGTTTTTTCTAAGGGTTTTATTCTTGTAGAATGTAACTGGAAAATATATAAGGAAAAATCTATTTCACTGATCAAGATAGGATTGAGACAAAGCAAAGCTGGTGGCTATCTTTCATTAATCATCTTTTCTACAATTTATTTTTTATTACTTTAGCTATTTAATTATAATTTAATTGATTATTTCAAAACCCATTCTTTTTAATTATTTATTTTTACAAGTTTCTTGGTTAGAATCAAATCAAATTAAGAACATATATTTCCAGAGTACTTGTGGATCAACCATTCTTCTCACTATTTGATAGGAAAGCGGTGGCGGGTTAATGAACGTTGCTCTTGTTGAAGAATCAAACCTAGAAAGCTCTAGACTCGATGAAGAACAATGATGAATGAATAGAGAAGGTGGCGGTAATAGCTAAGGTTCTTTTAGGGTTTCTTTTTGGTGCTGGAAACAAGGTAAAAAAATAAGATTAAAACAAGATAAAGAAAAGATAAAGGAATTGCAAATAAAATAAGATAACCAAGAAATCAAAAGATCTCCCTTATGAAGGTGAACGGTAAAGATGATGATGGTGAGGATGGATTTGTGGAAAATAGATGGATAAGTGTCCTATCGAGCCCTCCTAGTCGCAATGAAAAGGCAAACACGATAATGTGGCTCTAACCAACCCTCCTAGTCGCGATGAAAAGGCAAATTGGAGTGTGAAGATTAATCTCCCTCACAAGAACTTGAAAGAACTCAAGGAGAAGAAGCTTCGAAGGCACAAGGCAATCAACACTTGCAAAAACGAACTCTCGTTGTATTATTAATCAAGGAAATCTTGCCTTACAAAGTTGAAAGAAGCCTCCTTTATATAGGGGCTGAGTTTTAAAGGTCCTAGATAACTAATGAATAAAATAATAATAAACTAAACATGTTTTAACTCTAATTCCTAATAAAATAATAATAACTAAAGATAATATTTTAACCCAACCTTAATTCCTAATAAAATAATAAATCTAATCCTAAAAGATAATGCATCATCCTATATTAAGTTATATTACAAATAATCAATAAAAAATATTGAAAATTCGTAATATTTACAAAATCCCGTATTAATCCCGTATAGGATTTTCTGCATGCACCGTCTTCAGTAAAATGGCTATATCTTGAGTTCCCGATATCGGATTGATGCGATTCAAAAACCGTTGGAAAGATAAGGGAAAGAAAGCTGTATCTCCAGAAGCCATGTCGACCAAATAAGATCAGGATCCCATTCAAAAAGTCGTCGCAAGTCTGCTTCTGTTCTGATCTTCTTTTCCAAAGCTTGGACGAGTGGATCATTTGAAAGAGTTATTACTTCTTCCTTTGATGTGAAACTTGTGATGCATGTATCACTATTCTACATATATTATTTCTTGAGATTAAGGATAATTTATTTGATAGGAAAACGGTGATTGTCAAATTGGCGCTGTTGTCGGGGACTTCTGCAAAGTAACTGATTTTTTTTTTTGTTTTTGATTTATGACCAGGCAAAACCTAGGCATACTAGAAGAATTTGATCTAGAAATCGAAGCACGAGTTAGAAGAATTCACGGACAAACAATTCAAGAGAAAATAGGACGACAACAACAAACTGAATTGCAATCAACCTTCAAGTCCGACGTCGCAATCACCACCGATACACCTAACGATAATCGTACGTATTCCAATGCCGATTTCATACCTGATGCACACCCGATGGACGAACTCACCATCCGGGAATCACCCATATCACATGCTGTTCAAAAATAGCTCTACATCACCTTCTCTCAAGGTGAAACTCTGTTTCAACTAAAAAAGGGCTGATTCATCTTCTTTCTACCTTCTACGGGATTTCCAATGAGAGTCTACACAAGCATCACACAGAATTCCATATGGTTTGTTCAAGCGTGAAACCATATGGATTATCCGAAGACCAAATTAAATTAAGAGTTTTTTCTTTTTCTTTATATGGATTAGCAAAAAACATGGTTATTTTATTTGCCTCCTAATTCAATAAATACATGGGTTGATTTAAATCGTATTTTTCTTTACAGGTTTTCCCAACAGTAAAGGCAAGCGAATATTGAAGAAGCATGCTAGGAATTAAACAAAAAGATAGGGAATTGCTTTACGACTACTGAGAGAAATTCAAGAAGTTTTGTGTAAGTTGTCCACAATATGGATTAACGAACAAACACTTCTCTAGTACTTCTACGAATGACTGCTTCCCGTATATATGAAGATGGTCGATGTTTCTAACAGAGGAGCTCTCGTCAATATGACCCCAAACGCATCAAAGGAATTAATTTCGACAATGACAACCAACTCTCAACAGTTTGGCTCTACAAGTGAACCCATTAGACGAGTTCACGAGGTAAGTAACATTTTCCTTGAAAATAAAATCGATAAATTAACTGACGAGGTTCATGCCCTTGTTGCAGGTAAAATTGGACCAAAAAAGAGTATGTACGATGCAAGATCATCCGAAAAATTGTTGCCTTATGCTATAGGAATAAACTAGCGCACAAGCTAATACAATGGGGAATTTTCCAGGACCTCACCAGAGGCCTTACAAACCTCACGCCAATACATACAACCTGGGGTGAAGATATCATCCAAATTTTAGTTACAAACAAAACCAGAGACCAAATCAAGTCTATCAATTGATGCTACCTCCACCACAGTCGTATCAACCGCCGAAGCCATAATTAGAATCCATCGTCGAGCAATTTGTTTTATCACATGAGAAGTTCCAGAATAGAACTAAAGCTCACTTTCAAGAGCTCACAAAGCATATGAGTCAACTAGCACAAGTTGTGAGTCACTTGAAATCACAAGGTAAACTTCCATCTTCAACTGAGGTGAACCCACGAGAAAATGTAAGTGCAATCACCCTCCGAAGCGGTACAATTTTCATACAACTAGTCCCAGAGGGAAGAAAAAGTAGTTGACACAGGATCCCAAAGAAATATGACATACAATTCAGTTCCATGCCATCTCTCTATACCGTTCCATATCCTTTTCCCTCGTGGTTAGTAAAAAGAGATAAACAAGATGAGGAGAAATAATTTTTTGGATATTTTTAGGAAAGTGAAAATCAACATACCTCTCCTTGAAGTTATCCAAAAAGTTCCAAAGTATGCTTGATTTTTCAAAGATCTTTGCACCACAAAAAGAAAACTTATTGGACACGAGAAGGTGAATCTAGAGAACATGTTTCAATCGTTTTTCAACGTAAACTTCCACCAAAGTTAAAGGACCAAGGTATGTTTGCTATACCTTGTAAAATCAGTAAGGTTAGAATTAAACGTGCCACGTGTGATTTAGGAGCATCTATAAATGTTATGCCATTATCTGTATATAATTTATTGTATGTTGAGCCTTTGAAAGATATAATAGTTACTGTATAATTAGCAGATCGATCGGTAACCTATCCCGAGGGAGTCCAAGAGAACATCTTAGTAAAGGTAAATAAACTAATCTTTTCGGAATATTTCTATGTCATTGACATGAAAAACGATCGATCAAATACTTCTTCTGATATTCTCCTTGGGAGACCTTTCCTTAGTATGAAAAACACACAAATCGACGTAAGAAGCGGAATTCTTACAATGGAATTCAATGGTGAGGTCGTGAAATTTAATGTATACAAAGCAATGCGACATCCAGTTTAAATTTTGTTGATGTTATTGAACATGTTGTTGATAAATTTGTGGACACTAATTTTTCTTATGATTTGTGTAGGGAATCGGAGGTAAAGATAATGAACAAAGGGTGTTGAAAAATATTTTATTTATTGAATCATATTTGCACTTAACTCCTTTAAAAATTAAGATATTAGTTTCCGTTTTGCAGACACCAAAAATAAAGGCGAAACCATCGTGGGAACATTTGAAGAACTCTATTTTTGGTAAAAAAAAATGTTTTGACGACAATTATTTTGGACAGAATTTTAAAACTAGGAAATATCCGAAGAAGTGCTTTTGAGAATGTTTGAATTTCTCATAAGGAATTCCTTAGTTGGAAAAAGAGTATATGAAACAGAGAAAACATCTCTCTCAGAACCTAGAGTCTGAACCAGGTCGTCAAGCTAACGAATTTAAACAAATCACTTTAATGGGAGGCAACACATTTTCATTTTTTTGTCGATTTTCTTTATTTTTATTTTTTGTTATTTATTTATTTTCATTTTTATTTTTAGGTACCCTGGTATTTATCTGATCAAACTCAAATATTCGACTAGGGATGGGCATGGGTTGAATTTTTGGTCCACCTGACCCGACCTGATATATAACTTAAAAACCTGACCTGAAATAATAAAAAAATATTTTTATTCAATAAAAACAGTAACTTAATTGAAAAAAAAATATATATATAGAGGGGTATTATTATAATTATTCCTAAATATATAAGATAAAATTATATATTTTTTGGGTCGGGTATGATATTTCACCCTAAACCCGAACCCGACTCGAATTCATTTTTTTTAAATCCAACCCGATCAGGTCGGATCAGAACCCGTCGAATTTAAATCCCATGCCCATCCCTATATTCAACCATGGCATTGGATCGTGTGGGCGAAAATTTGTTATATATATATAACCCTTTTTTTATTATTTACCCAAAAACCAGTTACACTATTCACCTAATTCAGCAAGCCAAAACACCATATTTTATTATAGAATTTACACAAACCCAAACCCCACCCAAAATTCATGTTTTGAAACCATCACAGCCCTCCCATTTCTCGTTTATATTTTTATCCACCCAAACAATCACACAACCCCAATAACCAAACTAGCAGTTGCGCTTTATCGTTGCACAATTCCTCGTCATTCCTCTAATCTTCACTATTGGCCCGCGCTCAACTCGTCTCCATCCTTCACTCTCCATGTAGTACCGACATGGTTCGAACAAGGAATCAAAGAAACTAATATTACCTTATGCCAAATAACTGCACTGTCAACACAAAAATTTTAAGGTAAATTCCGCGCTTATTTTTATTACCATATTATTGATGAACTATCTTTTGGCTTTGCAGAAAATGTTGACAGCCTCTCCTTTAGGTGATCGAATCCAATTGAGCATATCTCGACGCGGCCGCGGTCGTCATTAAATCAAGGAGTATTTTTGTTCCCTCTCTTGTACATTAATTTTTATATTGGAGCAATATGACTTAAGTGGGGTGGAAAATTGCATCAAATTTTACCTTGCATATTCAATTGTGATTGAAATTGGGCAGTTCTTGATTTTAATTGCTGAAATTTATTGTTGCATATCTCTTGTTCATTTAATTTCTTTGATTTTTCTTGTGAATTTTGATCTCACTTCTTTTGGAATTTGATAGGGAAGTGGTGGCAGGTTAATGAACATTGCACTTGTTGAAGAATCAAATCTAGAAAGCTCTAAACCTGATGAAGAACAAAGGGGAATGAATAGTAGAAGATGACTCTCTTATGAAGATAAAAGGTAAAGATGATGATGGTGAGGATAAATTTGTGGAAAATAGATGTATAAGTGTCCTATCAAACCCTCATAGTCGCAATAAAAATGAAAACTCGATAATATGGCTCTAAGTGTCCTATCGAACCCTCCTAGTCACAATAAAAAGACAAAGACAAACTCTCGTTATATTATTAATCAAAGAAATTTGTTTTACAAAGTTGAATGAAACCTCTTTTATATAGGGGCTGAGTTCTAATAATAACTAAAAATAATGTTTTAACTCAACTTTAATTCCTAATAAAATAATAAATCTAATCCTAAAAGATAATTCATCATCCTATATTAAATTATATTACAAATAATCAATATAAATATTGAAAATTCGTAATATTTACAAAATCACGTGTTAGTCTCGTATAGGAATTTCTGCATGCGTTATCTTCACTAAAATGAACATATCTTGAGTTTCCAATATCGGATTGATACGATTCAAGAACCGTTGGAAATATAAGAGACAGACGATTATATCTCCAGAAGACGTGTTGACCAAATAAGATCATGATCCCATTAAAAAAATCATCGTAAGTCTGCTGCTATTCTGGTCTTCTTTTCCAAGGCTTGGACGAGTGGATCATTTGGAAGAGTTATTACTTGTTCCTTTGATGTGAGTCTTGTGATGCATGTATCAGAATTTAGGATGCATAATAGCAATTGAAATGATTAATTGATTTTCTTTAAATTTTCTTGGCATTCCATGAGTTTGATTAGTTGAATTGATTGCATGACTTGGTACAATTAAACCTTTCATGTGAGTTTTGAGCCTAATGAGCATACATTTACTTTCTAGCTCTTTGTTTAATTTGAGTGTGTTGACTAATTATTTACATTGTAGAACTTGTAGCGTAATACTTGTCAAGATTACACGACTGACTGTGATACTTTAGTGTGATATAAGCATTAGGATTTAACCCTTTCTCTTCAAAAAAAAAAAAATAGCCTACCATTTTTGTTTATTTCCCCCTAGTTACCCAATTTTAAGCCTTATATCCTTTTCTTTGTTTACCACATTATTAAATCGAGCAATTTTATTTTTGTTTTTCTCTTTTTTTTCACCCTTTTTAGAACAAAGGTAAAATTGTTTTGCGAAAAAAAAGCAAAAAGAAGAGTTCGAAAGAAAAAAACAGATTCAAATAATGCATAAATTACACTGTTCGAACAGTGCAGTTTGGTTCAAACTGTGCATATAAAAAATAGTTTTTGTTCAAACAGTGCAAAAAATTTGAACAGTGCAGTGTAGAAAAATACAATGCAGATTCAAATGAGCAAAAAGAAAATAGTGCAGAAAATAATATTCAAATCTGCAAAGAAAAAAACTGAAAAAAAGAAAATGAGAGAAGAAAAAAAGGGGAAATGAATAAAAGCTTGATTATTTGAGTTGTTTTCTTGATTCTTTGCTTTCTCTTGAATAGAATTGAGGAATAATCTTCTATTTGTTTTGAATTATTAACCATATTTTTTGCCTTTATCCTACCTGAGTCTTAGCCCCATTACAACCCTTTTAAAAACCTCTTGATTATTGCATCATGTTCATACTTAGTAGTGGAGATTAGATTTAGTTACAAGCTTATGGTAATTTTTTTAATTAGTTAGGCTTGAGTGATTTTTTCACCTAAAACACTTGAGCGAAATGAGTGAACCACTGTGAGGTAAAAAGTTTTGCTTCTTTAAGATTGATGGATAATTAGAATTTCATGTTTTGCTTAAACTTGCTTTTAGTTGTGTCTTTGCTTAATTATTTCATAATTTCAACATTTTCTATGATTTTGATTTACTTGGAAGTCTTGGAAATTTTGTGAAATAGAAGATGGCAACTTGAAATTTTAACATGTTGATTGGGAAATGCTTAAGGACCAGCATTGAATAAGTAAGAGGGAATTGAAGCTTGAGGATATGTTATTTTATTATTAATTACTCCTCGTTGTTTAGTTTTTGTTATTGATTTGGGTTTTTCTATTTATTTTCTATGTAGGACGTTAGATTTCAGAAACGGCACTAAAATGACACAATTTCGTATAATTTTTTTACTTTCTAGAGTCAATGCTGGATTAATGGGCATGAATGCATTCAACCAACAACTTCTAGAAGATCCAATCGACGTCTTCCAGAAGGTCCAGTTTATTTCAATAATCAACGATTTGAAGAACTTTGGGAAGGTCTATCCCAGTGAAGAAGTAGTGAGAAAGATACTTGCATCATTATCTACATCTTAGGAAGGCAAAGGAACTGCCATCAAAGAAACAAAGTATTTGGAGTTGTACACCCTCGATGAGCTATTGGGTCATTTCTTACTCATGAAATAAAGCTTTAAATGAAAGAATAAGAAGAGAGAAAGAAGGAAAATAAGAAAAAGAATGTTGGCATTGCTCTTAAATCCACCAATGAACACAAAGAAGATTCAAGTGAAAAGGTGGACGATGAAGATGAAGAGATGACCAAGCTTTTCAAGAAATTCAAGAGATTCATGTCATCCAAAGAAAAAGAAAGGAAGCATGAATCAAAGAAAGAGAAAGACCATATTATATGCTACCATTACCAAAATCGGGACACCATTAGTATGATTGTCCCCACTTAAAGAAGAAATGATCAAACAAGCCAAAGAAGAAGACTTTTGTGGTTATATGGAGTGATGAAGACGTCACCGATGATGAAGGGATGAAGTAGCCAATCTTTGCCTCACGACCATCCAAGAAAATTCAAAGGTATCATATAATTCAAATATATATATATTTGATGAGTTGCAAGATGCCCATGATGAATTAGTGTTATAATGTAAGGTCACAATTTCAAAAACAAAAAGATTCATTCAAAGTTAAAAATTGAAAATGACTCACTTTTTAAGACTAATAGTGAATTTGAAGCAAAGTCAATGATTTGCAAGAAAAAATAAATGTTTTTGAGAAAAAGAATTTAAACTTGCAAAACTTGTTTTCCAAAGTTCATGAGGATCATGATGATCTTAATAAAGAAAAGCCTAATTTTGATAAAATTATTAAAAATATATTTGAAAGAGGATATTGCACCAAATAAAATTTTGTCAAAAATAAATTTTACAATAGACATGCTTTCCCCCTAAATTTTATAAAAGAAAAATGGTTAAGAGTATATGGGTCCCTAAAGGACTCATTATTACCAAAAATTTGGACATCATATCTCCATGAATACCTAAGAGGACTAGATTGTTCAAAACTAACATGAATGGACCCAAAAAGATTTGGATACCAAAAATTGCATAATTATCTATTGTAGGTGTGTTAGAGCTATAGTGAGCAAAGTAAAACTATTTTGGAGCTCCAAAAACACACTAAGAAAGAAAACTTTAAGAAAGTGAGACTTAACAGGTCAACCTTACTTCAAGCGGTAAAATGTTTCAATTTCATGCAATTTAGTGCTTTTATGTGATTATATTTATTTTTGTGCTTGATTGTATGTTCCCTCCTAGTGCCTTATTGCATTTAGTTAGGGGGATTTAATATTGCATGGACTCTATCTTGTGGCCTTATATGCTTAATTTGATATCTTGTGGCCTCAAATTTTTTGGACCTTGTTTGATTTAGCTAGTAATTTCTTCAAAAATCCATAACATACAATAAAGTACCTAGCAAAACATTAAATTTAGTATCAAATATTTATCTATAGTGCCTAAATAACTTTCAAATTCTTCCTATAGTCTTAAAATCACTATGTGCTTATTCCGGAATGCTTTGACGGTTTAAAATGTCAATTTTACCATTTCCAGGCTGTTGGTATCGAGACCGTTCCATCAGTATCGAGACCAAAATTCTAGTAGCAAAAATCGGTATCAATATTGCTTATCAGTATCGATACCCGTGAGAGAGTCTCGAGACCACCTATCTCGGTATTGAGATTGAGGCCCCTATACTCGTGAAAAATTCCTTTTTATATCAAAATTCCCAAAACTCTCACTTTTTATTTAAACCCTAACCGACCAAACTCAAAATTCTCTCATTCCACCCTACTAAAACTCTTTTTCACTCAAACTTTCACTCAAATTCTTCATCCTTACTTTGTATCAAGTGGATTTGCATCAAGGGACTCATCAAATTCAATAATTTTCATAAAAAGTTTGAGGTATTTTTGAATGAATTAATTTACAATTTTTTTGAATTTATTTATTTTCAGTGGTTCAAAACATGTTTTTATGTTGTTTTTTTACTTCTAAAATGGATTGTACTTCCTTTGAACATATTTCCATTACATTAGAAACATGTTTTGTTCAAAAAAGTTCAAAATTTTTCAATATATAGGGTTTTGATTTTTTTATTAAATATGCAAAAATTTGTTCAATTGGTTATAATTGAGTTAATTATTAGATATATTTTTGCATGTTTCTCTTGCAGGAAGTTAACTTATTTACCAAATTTTTCTTTAAACCTTTGTTTTAAGATTGTCCACCAAGTGTTCGACAAAATTCCTAAAAGAGTTCTCTCTTGTCATTAGCCATTTTTTGTCCAATATGCCTCCTTGAACGAACTAAAGTGTCTTAGGACTAACGACATTACCGAACACAGTCAATCCTCAAAATTCGCTATTTTTGAAAATGCTCACTTTTAGGATCGTAATACCATTGAACTCTTCAATAGCTTTTTCAAAACTAAACCCCTTAGAATTGGTCGTACCATCGATCCAAACTTTATTATGTCTAGGGATTATCAATTTCTTATTTTTGAAACTTTTATCTCATGGGGTTGATGTATTCATCTATTGGTTAATCTTAACCTTGTTTGTGCTTTCTTTTCAAATGCTATCCTAGTACATGAGGAGGATAATGTTAAAAACGTTATAAGTATTGAGCCATTCTTAATGGGTAATACTTTCACTCTTAGTTCTGCTTCAATTGCCTCTTACTTAAAAATTAATAATAATGATGGTCCTTTTAAGGAAAATGCACATGTTCTTATGGAGCGATTACCTCTCTCGAGTTCCCCGATTGTCTTCTTTTATTTCTTATTACATGGTTTTTTCGTCCTTCGGGTGGTAAAGCTACCCATATGTGTGCTTGCGATTATTGGTGGTTTTATCATATCAAGAATGACACCCGTCTTAATTTTGCCATGATCATTTTCCTTGAGCTTGTTGATGTTGTGTCTAAAGGGTCAAACTATGCAATAACTCTTCCTTATAGTTGTATCCTTGGTTACATCTTTAGGGATAAGCTTAGAGCGTCCACCATCTATGACCCCTCCATTCTTCTCATTAGTATCATCAATCTCAAATTGGACATAAGGCTAATTGAGATTTTGATGTAAGAATGAGTGAGTGGCGTGGCGTGCCTTTAGACGAGATCACAAGGATGTCGTTGAGGAACAAGAAGATGAAATGGATGAGCCACTGATAACCCCTCCTCTAAAGGAGATATAGATGAAGACCATGTATGATTTTATGGTTCAAAGCTTCGGGAACATAAATGCTCACTTGGATGTACTTGAGAATGATGTTCGTTTGATACATCATCTTTTGATGACTCCCTTTCCTTCTCCACCGCATCCAAAAGAATAGGCATATTTATGATGCTTTTCGGATTATTGCATTATGACTTGTTTTCATGCACTCTATGGATTTTATTTTAGCACTTTATGTTTTTTTGTCTTTGATACTATTTTTATTTTGATACTTTATGTTTGAACTACTCTTGTGATGAATTTATGCTTATTTGATCTTATGAACTTGTTTATTTTATGTTAAGCATGAATTTGATCTTATATTTATTGTTGAATATTTGAGTTCCCTATTACACTAACATATCTCTCTTTTGAAGCTAAATTTGATTTTGTTATAACAAAAAGGGGGAGAAATATGTGTAAGTATAAAATTTGCTAGCTAAAAATTGTTTTAGCCACAAATTATTTTACTTAGAGGAGATTTTATTTTTCACAAAACTAAATTGACAAATCAATTTTAAAGCTAAACTAAATTTTCAGAAAGGGTTTTGTTATATCAAAAAGGGAGAGATTGTTGAACCAACTTATTATTTTGATATAACATGAATTTTTAAATGATTTAAGTTGTTAAAACTTGCACTTCACAATTTTATAAATAATTTGTCATAAACAATTTTAAAGTGTTTTTAAATGTGAAAAATAATCATAAGTGCTCTTGAGTAATTTCACAAATTGTAAGTTTTGTTTTTGAAGCTCAAAACACTTGTAATTTAGCCAAAACCCCTCAGTCTCAAGACCAGTGTTCTAGTCTCGATAACAAAACCCCAAAAGGGTTTTCAATCTCAAGACCATAGTCCTAGTATCGAGACCGGTGGTTCAATACTCATTCAAACAATATCAATACCAAGGGCACAACGACTATAAATTTGATTGTTATGATGATCGATCTCGATACCAACATCCCGATATCGATACCTAATGTGCATATGAGTTTAAATGCTCAAAATTAATGAGTTCAATAGCTCAAATCAGTCCCCAACGTCTCTAAACGACTATATTGATGTTAGAAGACATAAAAGGGACCAAGATTCAAATGGATAACAAAGAAAAAATCAATTGCAAGATCAAACCAACATAAATAGAGTTTTAGAGAAAAAATTGTCAAATTCTTTGGAACACACTTGTGAGCTACATTGTTAAATTTGCTCAAGTGTTATTTT